GGTAGGAAAGGCATCAAGGGTCTAGCGTAAACAGCCTCTCTGCTTTTTGCAGCCGTAAGGTTGCATACATCTTTGACCCCCCGACCCCACCCCCAACGTGATTTGGATTATGATGGGGTTGTTGTTTTGCAAATTCTAAGCCATTTGTTCTTCATGGCACAAATGTTGGGCAGTAAAGAACCAGAATATGTGTAAATAGATGCAATCATGATATGTATGCTATTATGTATGTGTAGTTGTGTACAAATTCATAATATTTAATAAAAAAATGGACAAGTGGTGCCACTTTCTAATAGAGGAAACAAACTTCGATAGATTTAGACATGTTTGTCAATGCCTCCAGATGTTAAGGTTAAAAAGTGTAACTGTTGTGATTGATTTCACATATTGATGTTGCTAGCCTAACTAGGTTGTGATTAAAGCTTAGTGAGCTTGTTTATTATTGTGGCAACAATTTGGAATATGAGTTGCGAATTGGACTTCTGACAGGCTGGTATTGAGGAAGCCAAGACTGAAGAAATTATGAAGCTACAGTCTGCCTTGGAAGAAATTCAACTTCACCTTCAAGAGACCAAAGATTTGCTAATGAGAGAGCACGAGAAAGCAAAGGAGGCGGCTAGGATAGAAGAAGCCCAAACCGAAGAACTTGTGAAGCTACAGTCTACTTTAGAAGAAATCCGATTTCAGTTTAAAGAGGCGAATGAAATGCTCATGAGGGAACGAGAGAAAGCAAAGGAAAATGCTGAATTAGTGGAAGCCAAAACTGAAGAGTATGTAAAGCTACAGTCAGATTTGGAAGAATTGCGACTTCAATTTCAAGAGACTAAAGAGTTGCTCATGAGAGAACAACGGAAAGCAAAAGAGACTGCTGAAATAGGAGAAGCTAAAACTGAAGAGCATGTAAAACTACAGTCTGATTTGGAAGAAATGCGACTTCAACTTCAAGAGACTAAAGAGTTGCTCATGAGGGAACAACGGAAAGCAAAAGAGACTGCTGAAATAGGAGAAGCCAAAACAGAAGAGAATGTAAAGCTACTGTCTGCTTTGGAAGAAATGCGGCTTCAGCTGCAAGAGACTAAAGATTTGCTTGTGAGGGAACAAGATCGCATAAAGGAGACAACTGAGATAGAGGAATCCAAAACTGAAGAACAATTAAAGCTACAGTTTACTTTGGAAGAAACCCGACTTCAGTTTCAAGAGACTAAAGAATTGCTCATGAGGGAACAAGAGAAAGCAAAGGAGATTGAAGACATGGAGCAGGCCAAAACTGAAGAAAATGTGAGACTGCGGGCTGCTTTGGAAGAAATG